GCTTTCTCTCACACTCACCTTCCTGTTCTCCCTGTCCTACCCTCTGCCCTCTGTGCTCTCTCCCTGCACACGCTTGCAAGTCTGGTTCATTCCCATGGCTTGGTTGTATATGTCATCTCACATTTCAGCTTTCAAGCCCTCCAACAAACGCAAGACCCCTACTACTTATTGCTTGCCAGCCATCTCCGCTTACATAGCCCACTTACATCTGGGTATCTGTGGGCCACATGGCATTCCACCCCACCCCCCTTTCATCCTAAGCTTATTTTGCTGGATGATCATGAAGTGATCGTTGATGTCAAGAGAGGGGTGCGGCAGGGTGATACCATTTCACCAAAACTCTTCAGTGCCACCCTCGAGAACATCATGCGATGACTGGAATGGGAAGGAATGGGAGTGAAGATAGATGGTCGGCAACTATACCACCTCCGCTTTGCTGATGACATTGTTTTAATAACACCAAACATCAGCCAAGCGGCACAAATGCTGGCCGACTTTGACCGTGAGTGTGGAAAGGTAGGACTACAGCTGAATCTTACGAAGACAATGTTTATGAGAAACAGCCTTGTTCCTGACGCCCCATTCGCTCTCAATGGAACGACCATCTCTGAATGCAACAGCTATGTGTACCTAGGTCGAGAGGTCAACATGACAAATGACCTGGCACCCGAGCTGGGCAGGAGGAAGAGAGCGGCTTGGAACGCCTTCAAGAACGTCGAAGAAATAGTTAAGAGGACGAAGAACCTCCAGCTCCGGGCACATCTCTTTGATTCCACTGTTCTTCCTGCATTAACATATGCCTCAGAGACCTGGGCCCTACGCAAACAAGATGAGAACGCCATTCAGGTCTCCCAAAGAAGAATAGAAAGAGCTATGCTTGGAATATCACGTTTCACTCAAATGAGAGAACGAATCCGGAGTTCTGACATCCGTCGACGATCAAGGATCAGGGACGCTGTCTCATATGCCAAGGTGTCGAAAATCAGATGGGCTGGTCACGTAATGAGATTTAAAGACGACCGTTGGACTAGAGCTGTTACTGATTGGATTCCACAGGATGTCAAGAGACCGCGTGGCCGCCCACCTACCAGATGGTCAGACTTCTTTGTCAAGATCATGAACGATCGGTTTGAGGCCCTCCATGTTCCCGGAGCGAAGAGATGCCATTGGGCTACACTAGCACGCGACAGGGACAAATGGAGACGTTACTGGCGCCCGCTCGAGCAAATCGACGACTAACGGGAAGTTAAGTGATAAAGTGATTAAGTGATCATGGAGGCAGATCACATCTTTTGCTCCAAAGTCCCCCATTCATTCCTGGGAGCTGCATCCCCACCGCACTCACACACTTCAGATCATTCTGCCAGCTTTCAGGAACTTCTGTCACCTCTGAGCCCACCCACCCTCCACGCCACACACAAGGGGATCTCGGCTTCTACCTTTCCTGTCAGACTAGCCTTCTCTCTCTCTCTGCCTGGGTTCACAGCTCATTGGTGTTTAGCTCCTCTGTGCCCTCACTCTCCTTAGCCTCTGCATCCCTTTTGGTTCTCACTGGGAACACTGCATCCTCCCACCCACTCCCTTGTCAAGCTGACTCCTCACCCTTCATTTCTCTGCTCAGATGTGCTTCTTCCAGGAAGCCCTCTCTGACCCTCACTCTGTGTGCTCCTGGCCCTTGTTTGATCTCAGGCAGTAACACTCTCAGGAAGCCTGACAGAACCTGCAGCCCCATCTCTACCAGGACTGAGTTCCAGGGCTCCCCTGCTCTCACTATACTTGCCCTGGCACTTTTCCCCAACTCATCCTTTCTCAGATGGACACTGCTTCCCTGCCCGCTGTCAGTGTTGGTGGTGCTTGTGGCTCCCTGCAGAGTACTCTGGGCACTGTTGGGCGGTTTGTGTGTAAGGACTCTGTAAGGAGCGCGATCCTGCAATGGGTCATGGGGATGCTAAAAGCTTGAGGTAAATAGATTTATTAGGAACCTGTTTTGCAACTAGAGTTCAAAAGAAATGGATTTCTCTACAAACAAGCATTTGAAAAATACTGATGATAAAAGATTTTTAGAAAAATAAGTGACCACAAACTACTCACGAAGAGCTGTTATTTTATAGGATTTTCTTTATTTGCGGGAGGCGTATGCCTGGCGATGCTCAGGGTTTTTTCTCCTGGCTCTGCACTCAGGAATTACTCCTGATGGTGCTAGGGGGACCATATGGGTTGCAGGGATTGAACCTGGGTCAGCCATGTGGAAGGCAAATGCCCTACCCGCAGTGTTCTCTCTCCAGCCTCTTGTAAGAGTTTCAACCATGTTTAAATGATTCCCTGTCTTATTTCTTAATTTTTTTAAAATAATGTTGTTTTGGGGTCCTGTGCTCAGGACTTACTCCTGGCTCTGTGCTCAGAGATCACCCCTGACAGTGCTCATGGGACTATATGCAATTCGAAGAATGAACCAGGGGCAGCCGCATGCAAGGCACAGTGCCCTAACCTCTGTACTGTCACTCCAGCTTCCATTGTTAATTTTTAAAATGCTTCATTAGTTTTCTCTTTGGGACCTCTCCCAGCAATTCTCAGCCAACTGGGTCAGCATTCCAGTGCTAGGGCCTCAGGCTGTGGTGCCGCGTGGGTCCCGTGGTGCCAGGATCAGTCAGGTCACTGCAGCGGAGCTCCAGGGAACCACGTGGTGCCAGGGATTGAACCTGATGGGTAATGACGTGCAAGGCAAGCGCCTCCTTCCCTCTACTCTCTCTCCAGCCCCCAACGCCCAATTATAAACAATAGTGTCTGAGACATACTAGAGTTTGTGACCAGAGTTTTGTGACTGTTTCCTAAGGAAACCACAGCACAAATCCTTCCGTTTCCCTGACAGACCATCCTGGTTCTCAAAGAAGAGTTGGCACCTTCTAGGCACCTTAAGTGCCAGGGAAGACGTCATCAGGTCCTATTTCTCACTAACTCCCATCCAGTCTCTAAGAAAGATAAAATGGACTCAGACTGAGGAGAGATGGAAAGGGGTCCATGACTGGGACTGGGGGGAGATCTGACACCCTGAAGAGACTCAGTTTCTGAATATTACATGGAATTAATTTTTTTAAGATTTTATTTATAATTATTATTTTGCTTTTAAGTCACACGTGACAATGCTCAGGGGTTACTGCTGGCTCTGCACTTAGGAATTAGCCCTGGCATTGTTCAGGGGGCCATATGGGATACCGGGCATCGAACCCACGTTGGCCGCATGCAAGGCAAATGTCCTACCTACTATACTATCGTTCCAGCCCTTGTGTGGAATTTCTTATCTTCTCTTGATGGTTCTTTGTCTAATATTTTCTGGAGTGATAGCACAGTGGTAGGGTGTTTGCCTTGCGCGCAGCCAGCCCGGCCGAACCGGGTTCGATTCCTCTGCCCCTCTCGGAGAGCCTGGCAAGCTACCGAGAGTATTCAATATGCCAAACACAGTAACAGGAAGTCTCACAATGGAGACGTTACTGGGCCCGCTCGAGCAAATCGATGAACAACGGGAGGACAATGAGGAAATTAAAAAATATATTTAAAAACTATATTAATATCCAATGCTGTGAAGCAAGGACACATTCACTTTTCCTGAAATTACTCATTTAGGGTCAGGGATGTAGCTCAGTAGTAGTGCATTTACCTTGCATATATGAAGCCTGGATTTGATCCACCATGCTGCCGAAGCACACAAAAAGAAAGGAAGAATAAACCTTTTCTGAAATGTTCATTTATTCCTTATAGATTATACCTGGCTTCTTGTTAAATGCATTCGCTGGGTTCATACTGCGTGGAATCCATACTATACTAGCCACCCATCACACTTTGGACACCTGGTCAGTCTCTCAGTGTCTTTGCTGGGCATGGCAGCAGCCCTTCAGAGAAGACTGCCTGCCCCTGGCTCACCTCCATCTCTGGTAAATCCCAAGCTGGCCTGACCTCTGAGGTTCTGCCAAGTTTCACATCTTTGGAACAAGTTACTGCTTTTCCCCAGCATCATGCTGGTTTTCTTTTCCATTTCAGGCTTCTCCCACAAGCCATCAACATGTTGTTTATCCTTCGTTCTCCTCTTGGAAATGTCACAATAAAGAATTCTGTGTAATTTTCCAGCTCTCTTCTTTATCTGTCAACAGTTTAATGCAGCATGTCATCTCTTTTATTGATTACTGATTTTTATTCACAGTCACAGTCACAGTCCTCCCGTTGTTCATCGATTTGCTCGAGCGGGCCCAGTAACGTCTCCATCATGAGACTTATTGTTACTGTGTTTGGCATATTGAGTACGTCATGGATAGCTTGCCAGGCTCTGCCGTGCAGGCGAGATACTTTCGGTAGCTTGCCGGGCCCTCCGAGAGGGGCGGAGGAATCGAACTTGGGTCAGCCATGTTGGCTGCGTGCAAGGCAAATGCCCTACCACTGTGCTATCACTCCAGCCCCTGATTTTTATTAACACCTATCAATGATGTCTTACCTATAAAAATTATTTCACAGATTTTAGTATTGAGCCATTTATACGCTCATTAAGGTGACTTTGTGGTTTTGAAGCTGTGGGAGCTGGTGCTGCACCATGGGATGACACTGGCTCAGGAGATTATTGGTAAACTGAGGCTGTGACTCTGGAGAGCAGGTGTAGCAGAGGCAGCAAGCCTGATAGCTTGTTTTGGGGGAACGAAGCATCATCATACATCTTATAATTGGCCATAGAGCGTGTCTTCGTGAGATTGGTATGGAGGGGATATGAAATAGCTCTCAGCTTTAAGCTTCCCACATTTTAATGGGTGCACTGTATAATTCTGAGTCCTTGCCCTATAGTATATGCCATCCAAAGGTTGTGTACTGTGATCATTAATTGATTGTTGTTTCCTGAGAGATGCCATGCCAGACACTATGGTGGCCTCAAGGCACTGATGTTTGAGACACACAAACATATCTTACATATCAACCCAGACTGACGTGGTATGTCAACATGTACTTTTTCTTGTTTCCAGCACGCTCTCCTGGCTCTGAAGTTTATCCTTGCTTTTGTCATTCCTGACAAACCACAGCATATCCAGATGAAACTGGCCAGATTGGAATTTGAGTCGTTGGAGGCACTCAAGCAGCAGGTAAGGGCAAGAGTTCTAAAAATAAATGTATTTAGCAAATACTAGAGGGCATCATTCACTGGATGTTCTCTCTCTCTTTTCTCTCTCCTTTCTCTTTCTCTCTCTTCTCTCTTTCTCTCTGTATTTCCTTCAGCCTTGAAATTACCCACTTAAGTATAGAAGTCACCAGCTTAGCTTGCCAAAACAAAACTAAAAACCTAATTATATGAGCCACAGAGATTTAAACACCAAAACTAAGCAAAGCAAAAATATTCAGGCATGTTAAATAAAGAATAAGACTAGCATTTAGCCAAAGAAAGAGAAGGAGATTTCCAAGAATCACAGTGGGGCAGCTTCCCACATTTGCTCAGTCTGCCTTCCTCAGGAACATGAAGGGCGAGGAGAAGAAATTGAATCCCAAGTAGTATCCTGCAGGGAGCAGGAGAGAAGGAGAAAGTAAGGGCAAAGCAACAGTGAAGTCAGAGCATGGAAGCTGCTTCCCACCCGCTTCCACGTTCGGCCAGAGACTCCTTTGCTGCCACAAACGAGAGCGATAGGCCAGGTGTTAGGGCAGATGTCTAGCCTTTACCTGGCGCTGGGCTGCCCCCTACACTGCTGGCCCTCTGCCCCTCCAGTGTCACTGGGAATTGCCCTGGTGGCCCCTAAACACCACTGTCCCAAGTTTTGTCAGGAATGGTGCCCCTATCATAAGTGAATTAATTTAACTTGAAAAAGAAGGCAAGTGGGGGAGTCATTTTTTTTATTTAAAAAAAAAGAGGAAAGAAATAGATCATTGGTGGAAGGATGCTGACATAGTGGTGGATTTTTACCGACACCTTTGTAAATCCTGGTGCCTAAATAAAATAACTAGGGCTGGAGCGATAGCACAGCGGGTAGGGTGTCTGCCTTGCACGCAGCCAACATGGCCGACCCGAGTTCGATTCCTCCGCCCCTCTCAGAGAGCCCGGCAAGCTACTGAGAGTATTCGATATGCCAGACACAGTAACAACAAAGTCTCCAATGGAGACGTTACTGGGCCCGCTTGAGCAATAAAAAGAAAGGGAGAATGGGAAGACAGCACATCCTTGATTCTCAGAGCTAGTTTTCTCTAGTGATGCTTAGACAAGTAAATAATGAAGAAACAAAAAGATGTTATCATTGGGGAGGTCATATTCTGGGGTTGGCACCTCACTGACTTCATAGGCCAGTAGGGGTAACTGGTCAGGCACTTGCCTTGCATATGGCCATCCCAGGTTCAATGCTGTGGGACGTATATGCATCTGTACGTTCGTGGAACTCCATGATCCATGTTCCTGAAAGTTTTGTCAGCTTGGCATCTCTTCAGGGATTAGTTGTGAAGCAGTGAAGGTGGGCTGTTTGTGTGGCATGGCTGTGGAGTGTGGGTGCAACTTCTGAGGCTTCACTAGGGTGGGGGCTCAGTCTGACTCCTCTTGAGGGCACTCAAGGTTTTAGCCAAGAGACTAGTGGACTGGTAAGTTTCATCAGCATGGATTGGCATTTCTTCTAAGATTAGTCTAGTGGTTGAAACATTTTTATTAGGAAAAACCTGAAAATGACTATATTTTCCAGTAGGAGACTGGTTAAACAAATTATGGTGTATCATTATTATCAAATTTCATAAATCTTCTTTTTAAAAAAATTGTGTGTTGGCTATTTTATTAAGTAGGAAAAGAAAGAAGCAGGAAAATATACCTGAGTCAGATTTTAAGGAAAAGAGGAGGGAAAAGGAGGGAAATGAGTGAATGCTGGTAAGCATATTTATTTTCTTTGAAAGCACTCCCCACAAACCTTGAGAATAATTAAGATTTCTCTTTCAAAGTAGAGTTTGAATTTTCTGAGTATACACATATATTAATTTTAAGGACAGTAGGAATCCTTTTCAAGAGGGATAATTTGCCTTTTTTATGTTGTTTTGTCTTGTTTTGGGGTTACATACAGCAGTGCTTAGGGCTTACTTCTGGTTTGCACTCAGAGATCATTCCTGGCAGGCTCAAAGGGACCATATGGGATGCCAGGGATCGAACCTGACTCTGCCACATGCAAGGCAAGCACCCTACCTGCTGCTCTACCGCTCTGGCCCTGGGTTATTTTTCTTTTTGTTTGGGTCTTTAGGTCACATCTAGCAGTCCTCAGGGGCTACTCCTGGTTCAGTGATGGAGGCCACTCCTAGTGGTACTCAGGGTACCATTTGTGGTACTGGGGACTGAAGCTCTGACTTATATGCAAGGCATGTGTTCCAGCCTATTGAGTTATCACCCCAGTCCTGGGATTATTTGTCGTGTTACTTATATGCATTTTTGCATTTAGCACTAGTAAGTAAGTAAGGAACAAAGTCCTGTGAGTAGTTTGAATAATGCCTTTCCTAATGCCACTTTCAGACAAATACCCTGGACACATTCTTCACATACTCTATCTCCTCCCTTGAAAGGGAACAGACTGTTTACAGGGGAAGAAAACTGATACGAACAAGGATATTTTTAGAGTAAAACTTATTTTCACACATTGTATACATTGTCTGTGTAAAGTTGGATGGAGACCATGAACCAACAGGGGACCCAGACTGTGGGAAGAGGCCAAGTAGGTGTTTATAAATTCCTCGGCAAACCTCTGGCAAAGTCAGATCAAGTCCAGAGCCAGGGGGCAGGCTTGGGCACTGTGCACTTGGCACCCCATTCTGTAATTTGAGGTGTCTATTCAGCTTTCCCTTAGCCAAGGCGCCCCCAAGGATGAATGGAAGCAAGCAGAGTAGGATGAATGGAAGAGGGAGCAGAGTGCATCCTGGCGCAAATCTCACGAGGACCATCCAGACAGAAGCTGGCGGGTCTGAGCCTCGTTTCTCAAATCCTCAACTTCCACATGTTCTCCTTCCTAAAACATGTCCTCCTGCCAGGCCCAGGTGGCTTGCAGGTGTCTCTGGGCTGGCAGCCACTGTGTCTCCTTTCTTCTCCGCCTTGGCCAACCCCAGGTACCTTATCTGCCCGTGCCTGTGCAGACCTCCCAGATTTGATGAGAAGCTTCACACTGGAAGTGTCAGGGCCCTGTGTTTCACAGAGACCCTCCATGCCTGCCCGTCAAAATCAAATCTATCTCCTTATAGAGATGTTTTCTAAAATATAGCCAGAAGAACAAGTTTGATGGATATTATCCAAACATTTATTTTGATTTATGTAACTATGATACTCACACACCAGTAATAATCAGAATGGTCAATCAGTCCCTAAAAACATTGAAATACATTTAAATGATAAATCAGTCCAGTGAATCTTAGATGTTTATTTGCTGGTCACAGTGAATTTTGAAAGCTTTTATATTTTAATTTATGTGCATCTAGTTACTGCACCAACATACGCAAGAATGGTTGATAAAAGACTTCTAAGCAAAAAAAAAAAAAAGATTTTTTAATTAGGATAAAGTTTGAGAGAAGTGGGAAAAATATATATTGTAAACTAGAAAAAAGTGGAACAGTTTTTACTATTAATTAAGAACCTATTCGTGTTCTTAATTAGGAAACTTAAATGGGTGATGGCAGATGTAAGATTCTGTATTATTTAGAATCTCTTGAATATCTTTAAATGAGCAACCCACTCATGTAAGTATTCACAGTGTGCTGGGAAGTAATGACACTTTCAGACAAATACCTTGGGCAAAACTATTTAATTATTTTTTACAACTATGTGATTTATGGTGAAAAATATCAGACATAAATTTAAAATTGTGGCTGCTATGTGTGTAGGACGTAGCCTCCAAAAATTCTAAGGAGTTTGTAGGAGAAACACATTTTTAAAATGTACAGCATTGTCTTTGGAAGGATTTTGGGAAATCAGGTTTCTGCATTCCCAGGGAGCTTTCTGCATTCATAGTGAGGTTTCCTTGATGGGGGCAGACAGCTCCATGAATGGCATTGACAAGCTCAAGGGGAGACCTTGCTTTGTATCAATAAAATTTTCCGGGTGCTCACAATTGCACATGTTCATGTACTTGCCCCCTTGTTTACTAGACACATTTACCTAAAGCCCCATGAAAGCGATGTTAGGTTTTATTTGAGGGGTGCCCTGCCACAGAGATGTTAGATTTTATTTGAAGAATTTCCTGCCACAGGGATGTTAGATTTTATTTGGGTGTCCTGTTTATTCGGATTTACCCAGGCGTGACCATGGGTCTTCTCTAGCCTGAGCTCTTGGACTTTTATCTCTAGGCATACCCAGACAGCAAAGCAAGCCCCAGTACAAAATATAAAATAAAATAAAATAAAATCTCTGTGTAGTTACCATCATTGAAAAGTGAAACATGAGCCGAAGTTTTATCTCAGAGTATTTAGAAAGCAGGAACAATGAAAAAGACTTCCAGTTTCTTTGAGTTCTTTCTTGGAGGGGGTCACTCCCAGCAGTGCTTAGGGGACCACATGATGCTTAGGGGACCACATGATGCAGGGATCACTCACATCTCTCACATCACCCTTAGAACCGGGCTTGAGCTCAGGGATTGCACACCATGTGCTCTATCCTCAGGACCATCTCCCTGGCCCTAACTTTGCCTTTCGTTTTTCTTTTCAGCATATAGATGTATTTACCTAACATCACCTTCTTAAAAACTATGCTTTGGAATGCTGATTTTTATAGTAAGGTTGGGGGTGGGGAGGAAAGGTGGGTACAAGATATCAGCAGGTTTAAGAGTCAGTTCACTTATTGAATGCCCTCAAACAGGAATCCCTAGCTTGCATGATAGGTGATTTTTGCACAATTGCTACATCTGCAGCTCAGAGGTCTCTGCTGCATCAAGGGGTCAGGCAGTAATGAGGAGTGTGGTCAGGGGTTCTCATCCAGGACTGCAAACTCACAGAAGGTGTGCCCCCCTCCCCCCCCCCCCGCCCTGCACCTGTCTCCATGACATTTTTCTTAAAATCCCAGTCTGAGGATAAAGGTGCTGGGCAGATGCTGATCAGCAGAGCTGGGGCAGGGACTCCTCACTTTTGCTTTTCAAAACCTGAGATTAACTGGCTT